ACCTGTACAAATATCAATATTCTATCTCATGTCAGCAACTATCAGAAGTCTTTCCTTTGCTTTTCACTAGAACATAGGTTAAAAAAAGAAAAAAAACTAAACTTTACAGGAAAAGACACCTGTTTCAGTACACCTTCAATTGCCTTTGAGCTTACTTTCCTTTTTGTCCTCTGTTTCTCTGGTCTCCTCTTCTACTACTCTTTACCACACTATAGAGACACAGTCTCTTTTCCCTGCTTTTGAACACTGTGTTGCACTGTTTTACCTGCAGTCTTGCCCCTGGCTCATCTCTATTTTCAGTGTTGATGGATCACATTGGTAGAACTATAACTCAACTACTGACATTGCCTGACTTTCACAGGAACTAAAGCAAAGTGATGAGGTACAGAGATTAGTTGGAGGCCTGGGTCTGGCAGTAGAAGAGACATCTGAAGGGGCAGCCAAGAAGTCAAGGCCTTTAGGCCTCACTGAAGTGATCAATCCATCAGACTGTGTGGTAGTCCAGCCTGTAAATCTTAAACTGCTTTTCTATCTCTTCCTTGCTGATTTCTGAAACAGAGGATGCTATGGAAAGAGCTTACATTTTGAAGTCAATTGAACTACGTTCAAAAACTGGGCTAGACACTTACTAGCTTTGTGTCTGTGATTAAGTTACTTAACCTTTCTAAACCTCAATATACTCATCTGTAAAATGGAGCTTAAACCTATTTGCCAGGATTATGATAATGATAAGGGTTAACGGAAGGAATGAACATGAACCACCTGATAGCAGACTATTAGCAAGACTCCTCCTATGATCCTGATTTTCACTTGACAGTCTGTTGCTGATCTCCTGATTCTTTATTTCCATTACTCATTTAATAATAGGCATTTAATTTATGATGAAGGTAAATTTGAGAGAACACAATTGAGTTATTGGTAAGTTATTCTTAGACAAATGGTTTTCCATTTGGAAGTGATCTTAGATCCTATCACACATGTCATTTTGAAAAATAATGCAAGATTATTAAAATATTATTAATGGTATTCAGAGGTACTAGTAACTAAAGTGTTAAGGAAGAGAATTGCTCTAGGTAAGTTCTATGAATGTACTATTTCTAAGTTACACAGATGCTGAGTTTTTACTTTATTTTGTTCAGTAAATTTCTACAGCGAAATGCACAGATCTTAGGGGTAAAATTGTACAGGTTTTGACAAGTGTGTGCACCATGTAAACAACGACCGATAAAGATTATCTCCCCAGAAAGATCCCCAGAGAGCCTTTCTGGGCAAACCTCACCTCTCATAGGAAACCACTTACTCTATCGCCATAGATTAGACTTGCCTGTTTTTAAATTTCACATAAATGGGATCAAATAGTATTTATTCCTTCATCTGGCTTCTTCTGATCAATATAATATTTCTGACAGTCACCCATCTTTCAATGTGTATCTGTAGTGCATTTTTAAATTGCTTACAGTATAGCATCCCATTGTGTGACTCTATCACAATTTTTTTTTAAATCTGTTCTCCTTTTGATTGACATTTAGGTTGTTTTCAGTTTGGGGCCATTATAAAAAAACTGCTACAAACATTTTTGTGCAACTCTATGTATTCATTTATTTGGATAAATACTAGGAGTCAATAAATCATAGAGTATATGCATGTTTAATTGCCAAACACGTCTCCAAAGTCCTTTTGACATTTTATACTATATCAGGAAAACATGAAAATTCTGCATGTTCTATATCTTTTCCAACATTTGGTGGTAATATTTTTAATTTTAGCCATTCTAATGGAGTGCAAAGTGGTATCTTGTTTTAATTTGAATTTTTCAGGTGACTAATTATACTGTATATCTTTTTTCTGTGCTTACTGACCATGAATAAATCTCCTCTGGTGGAGTGTCATTCAAGTTGTTTATAAAATTGGGTTGTCTTCTTATTTTTGAGTAGTAGGATTTACTTATTTGGATACAAGTCCTTTGTAAGATTTAGGTGTTTTGAATGTTTTCTTTCAATCTGTGGCTTGACTTTTCACTTTCTTAACAATATATTTTGATAAATAGTTTTTAGTTTTGATGAAGCCCAATTTATTAATGTTTTCTTTTAGAGTTAGTGCTTTTTTGTGCCCTCTGTAAGAAATTACTTTTTTTTTTTTTGAGACAGAGTCTCGCTTTGTTGCCCAGGCTAGAGTGAGTGCCGTGGCGTCCTAGCTCACAGCAACCTCAAACTCCTGGGCTCGAGTGATCCTTCTGCCTCAGCCTCCCGGGTAGCTGGGACTACAGGCATGCGCCACCATGCCCGGCTAATTTTTTTATATATATATCAGTTGGCCAATTAATTTCTTTCTATTTATAGTAGAGACGGGGTCTCGCTCTTGCTCAGGCTGGTTTTGAACTCCTGACCTTGAGCAATCCGCCCGCCTCGGCCTCCCAAGAGCTAGGATTACAGGCGTGAGCCACAGGGCCCGGCCAAGAAATTACTTTTTGATTTGTTCTTTAGCTTTAAAAAATTAACAGTTAATGAATAAGAATATATTTTAATTGTAAAGATATTAAAATTCAGCAAAATATTTCATGCACAAATTTTACACTAAACAAAAAATATTATGCTTTATAGTTTGTACTATTTATTTTTAAGTTTTAAACACAAATATAAACTCAAAGTGGTCACACAGAATAGTTTCCTAAAGGGGCAACAAAAAAGATGTTCAAGGATACCAGTGGAACCAAGAGGCCTTCTTCCACCTTTTTCTTGTTCTGTTCTGAGTACAGCCCCAAAATCAAAGAACATCCCAGCCTATCCAATGGCGATGTTGCAAAGAAACTGGGAGAGATATTGAATGACACTGCTGCAGATGACAAGCAGCCTTATGAAAAGAAGGCTGCTAAACTGAAGGAAAAATACAAAAAGAATATTGCTGCATACCAAGCTAAAGGAACACCTGACACAGCAAAAAGGGAGTCATCAAGGTTGAAAAAAAGCAAGAAAAAGAAGGAAGAGGAGGACGATGGAGAAGATGATGATGAATGAATTGGTTCTAGTGCAGTTTTTTCCTTGTCTATGGACAATTCTTCATAAAGAATTTAGCCCCATTATCCACAATTCACTCACTTTAAAGAAAAAAATTGAAATGTAAGGCTGTGTGAGATTTTTTCTTAAACTGTACAGTGTCTTTTCGTGTAGTTAACACAGTACTGGATATGTCTTTAGATAGCCCTATCCTGGTGGTTATTTTCAATAGGCACCAACCTTGCTTGGTACAGTACAGGAGTTATAAATTGGCATGGAAACTTAAAGTAGGTTCTTGGTAGTACATGGCACAAATCAGTTATATATGGAGATGGTAGATTTTTTTTTATCTTCAGTTGTCTCTGATACAGCTTACACAAAATAGTTGCTGTTCTGTTTACTAAATACCATTCTGTAATTGCAAAAAAAAAAAAAAAAAGTTGTGGCTGTTTTGTTGACATTCTGAATGCTTCCAAGTAAATTCAATTTTTTTTTTAATTAAAAAAAAAAGAGTTGTGGGGTTTGAGAGAAACACTGGGCCCAGATCATAAAATGATTTATATACACTGTGTATGTATACTTACATACATTTTATCTTCAATGTAATGGGGAAGCACTGAACGATTTCAAGCAGGGGAATAAAACAATCAGAGATGTGTTTCAGGAAAGAAAAACATTTTGGGAGCATTGATAAAGATGAATAGATTAAATTCCGGTGAGATTAGAATTAGTCTCAAGTGAGACAAGAATCAGGGAATTCCCTGTCCTAGTAAGTAGTTTATCTTTGATTTGTAATTTCTCTCTTTATGATGCCCTCCCTCACCATTGTCAGGTGAGATTAGAATTAGTCTCAGGAAGGGAATGAGGCAATTCTGAAGGAAAAACATAAAGCCTGGGAATTAGGATAGAACTAAGGGTTAGAATCAAGAGATACTAAAAAGGTAAAATTGGACTGGACTTCACTGAATTTGAGAGGGTAAGGCCTAGGGATGCATCAGTGATTTAGATGTTGGTTCTCTTCACTAAAGGGAAATAAGAAAGAAAACTCTACAGTGGGAAAGGGAGAGCTCAGTTTTGCACATAGGATGTTGAGGTGCTGTGGAACATCTCAGCGTAGCGGACATGCAGTTGAATGTATGGGAAGGCAGCTCAGGAAAAATATCCCAAATGAAAATTCAAATATGAAAGTCATAACTTTAAAAGTGATTTTGGAGCCATGGGAGTGAATAAGATCACCAAGTAGGAATCTGTAGAGTGAGGGAAGAATAAGAACTAAAAAGGAATGCTGGGAATAGCAGTATTCAGGAACAGACTGAATTAGAACAGATAGAAATTCAAGAGAAAATGGTGTCAGAAAAACTGTGGAAGGGATTGGTCAACAGATTCAAAAGTTGCAGAGTGATCCAGTAGCAGAATGTCCTGTTTTAATAACATACAGATCATTAGGAGTCATGGCAAGAATGGTTTCATGGTAATAGGGATAGAAGTTAGATAAAAATGGATTAAGAAATACAGCAGGGGTTAAGAATGAATTTGGGATAATCTCTGAACATATTTTCAAATTATGTGTGTATGAAAAGAAGTGAAAGTATTGAGAAATAGCTAGAAGGGGGCAATGATTATATTCTAATATACTGAAGGGAAAAAGCCAGTGGGGAGTGAAATTATAACAAATGATAATAGATGAAGCAAGGTCTCTGTGAAAGTAGAAGAGATTTAGAGAAGAAATTCAGAAAAGGCGTAGAGGGATTTGTGTTCAATAAGATGAGGAATACTATATCCTGAGTGAAAACAAAACAAAACAAAACAAAACAATGGTGAGGGAGGGCATTACAAAGAGAGAAATTACAAATCAAAGATAAACTACTTACTGGGACAGGGAATTCACTGACAATGGAAATCTTTGAAAATGATACATAAATGTCAGGCCCAAAAAATAAAGAAATATTTCCATGCCATGTTTCCTTTTCTTTCAACTACTGAAATGGAGATGTAGGCTATGAAAACGGTTTCATAAAAACAATCTATGAAAGCCAAACGAAGTAATCCTATACCTAAAGTTTTACAGTAGAACTTTGGCAGTTTGCATGAAGAAAAAAACAAAGCCACTCTGAAATGATGGTGTTAGGTAGCTGGCAAGAATCCTTACAAGGTGAGTGGCTCATTCCTGCACACCAACCCCACAGAGCACTTGATTCGAATTTATGTCTCTGCAAATTACAAATCACCACATGTGATGGATCTTCAAGGTTGTTTGCAAACTAAGAAATGAAATCCAGAATATCAAATGCCTACTCTCTTTCATTCATTCAAAAGAAATATTATTACTGTGTTCCAGGTACTGTGCCAGTTGCAAAAGTCAAAAGAACATTGTCTCTACTTCACAGGAGTACAAACTCCATTGGTGAACCTGCGAATAATTACTGTTAAGAGGGTATATGCTACTAAATGTAGGGAAGGGAACATATAGAAAAGGTACCACTTTATACCTGAGTCTAAGGAAAACTTCCTGGAGCAAAGCACATTTCTCTTGAAAATAAGCAGACTCTAAGAATCCATCTGGTACATGATTGTGGAGTTTCTCTAGAGAGTGGGAGCAGCATTTGCAAAATGTGCAAAATGGTGATGGCAAGAAAAACCTGACTTCTAGAAAGTGAGGTCAGCCTGGCTGGAGTAAAAGACAAGCAATGGGAGAATGGAGAAAGGATCGGAAAGATGGGCCATATCTAAAGAAGAAGAGTCTACATATTATTCTAAGGAATTTGTACTATTATGTGATATTACAGAAGAACTGCATATTTTTACAGAGACTACATAATGAAATTTACTTTTAGAGAAAACACTGTTGCAGTGTAAAGGATGGTTTAGGGCAATACTTGAGATGGGCAGACTAGTTAGGAGGCTACTCCATAGTGCAGGTGAAAATGACAAATGCCAGAATTAAAGCTTGAGCTACAGAAGGCATGGAGAGTATTGGAAAGATTCAAGAGATATGTAGGAGACAGAAATGACAAGACATAGCAATTAATTGAGGGGTAAGAGAGCACCCAGTACGACTCCAGTCTTTGACTTGGGTAACTAGATGCATCCTTGTACAAGTAAAGTGGAGATCGCAGAAGTGTTATATGAGTGCCACTGTAGTTCCAGCCAACAAACTAACCTGAAACACATTTTTTTGTGTAGTAGCTAGAATCTTTTTTTATTATTAGTAGTAAAATTATGGTATTTTTAGCAGTACAAAAAAAGAATAATGAGAAAACATCAAAACTTAAAACACAGACTACAATAAAGGGATGAACCTAGGAGGACTGCCAGTTGGTCAAATGTATCCACGCATGGGATGAGGCTGAACTCTTCCACACCTTCAGAAACAGCACCCCGACTGCAGCTTAAACCGTGCTTTCAATGAATAGAAAAAATACAAAAAGGTCGGTCCATAAAACAGGGTTCAGAAAGGCTCATTAACGATAATAGTCTGCTGTACAGAAGGCAGATATTTTCCTCATGTCTTGCCAGCATCTAGGTGATTATACCCATTTGTCTGTTTGGATTTTATGCTCATCAAGTAATCTTCGATCTGGTATCTGAAAGAAGGGATGTCTCAGTTAGGAATACATATTACTCACCTTTCTCCAGACTCTAGAAGTGGACAAAATGGCTGCCAGATTTTGGTATACCAGAAACAGGTAAACATAGATATAATAGTATCAGACCATTACTGAGAAATTGGTATGGTGGGTATCCTAAATAATCCACTTAACATGTTTGTAAGGATCAAGGCCATCTACAATGCTGTCCCATCTTCAACATGTTGAGCTCCCTGGAAAACATTCCACCAATATAGTCTCTGCAAACCATGACATAAATAAACTTTAGTTATCTGGTGACCAATTTTCTAAGCCATCAAGCATCCAGAAAGAGCTTCCAGGTGTTACCTAGATATAAAAAGAATAGAATAAGACCAAGCTATTAGAGGAATATCTAGTTTAACTAATTTTTCCCCCTGTTCTCCAGCTTTACCGCTTATACCTCTATTACAGCATGTATCACCGCATATATTGTGTTATCCCTACAGAGCACAGGTATTGATACTGTCTTCTCTACTTGAACATAACCTCCAGATGGTACGGATGGTGACTTATGTTTCTCTTCACCCCTGAGAATACAGAACACATAGCTTTATGCATGACAGACACTCAATAAATATTTGTTGGATTGAACACGTCACAGTTAAGGCCAACTAGGTATCACAAGGCTTCAAATCAGTTGTGGAAAGAATTAAGCTAAATCTCTACATGTGATGACTACTCATGAATATGCAAGAATCTGTCAAAATGTGATCCTCGAAAATTAAGTTACTCTAGTTCTCAGGTTTTTTGGGAGAGGAGTTTAAAAGTATTTCACATGATTTGCATAAATGAGTAATAATCTCAACTCTGTCTGCCTATTATTTCTGTGTCTAGCTGGCTATAAAAATAAAGGAAGAAAATCTCATGGCTCATTCTAGTTTTGTTGAAATTTGACCATTAATTGGAGTGTATGTTTATAGTCATCACATATTATGAAAGCCCTACAAAGACTACATGAGAACTTTTTCAGGATCCATTCCTTTGTGGTTTTCAACATTATTAACCTGAATGCTGAGTACTGTTAATGTAGATCTAAACTTATGTTTATTTTCTTGACATTTGATAATAAACTTCTAAAAGTAAGAAGTAGGTTCCAGTTTGGATTATCCTCAGGTTTTAATCAATCCCTGCCCTCCCCTCCCCCATTTAGTTATGTTCATAGTCATCCACATTGATTTATATAATCAACATATCTCAATTTATTTTGCCATTGAGTATACTCAAAACTGATTATCATCTCATGTACAGATCACTGCAATAGTTTATCAAATCACTTTCCTGTTTGTAGCTTCTCCCCTCTCAGTTCATTACCATATCTTTACTTGACTGCTTTGGTTAACTAGCACTTTCACTAAGACATTCTACACATATTCATTTAACATGTATTATGAGCAGAACACCCAAAGGGGTGTTACAGAGACTATAAAGATAAAACATTGTCCTTGCCCTTAAAAGCTGCAGTCTAACTAAAAAAACAAAACAAACAAAATATATAATAGCAATAAAATATTAAAGAAAATCAAAAGAAGATGGAAGAAAAGAAATTGCAGCTTAGGTGAGGCAGGAAAACACTATGGATAAGAGGCTTCTGAACTAGAATTTTAAGGATAAGATTTTAAGGATGAGATAAAGTAGGGAAAGAATATCCTAGGTAGAGGCAATAACATGGAGCAATGGGTGGCCATGAAAGGTGAGACAAATTAACCAGAAGCAAAATACAAAGCAGATGAGATCACATAATTAAAGAAACTGAAGACTGTAACACTGAGGCAAGAATCTTAGCACATGCTGTCCAGTGAAGACCACCAAGCAGGTGGTGAACAACAGCTCAAGATATAGGCAACTGGCCACTGGGCCACCATGTACAGTTGAGCTGGTTGTATATGGTCTATGTGAATTGCATCTCTTGAAGTTGTGCCCACATCCTATTCAAAAGTGCTCAGTGATCCTGACAGTTTCAGACAGGTGAGTGCCAACCTTTGTGGGGGTCTAGCTTTGTAAAATGGAACTTATTCATGGGGCAGTGGGGTGAAGGGCAAGAAGTCAAGTCTCTCAGAAGACTGAAATCAGTTGTAAGGTTTAATATCTTGAAATAACAAGGCAGAGATGTAGATTCTGATGACTAGGTGCAAGGCAAAGAACTCTATTACTGAGAACACAGGTAGGCCTGGCAGAAGAACAGATAGCAGGAAAGTGAGTAATGTCTGACTGATGCAAATATCAAAATTAGTGTAATGTTTAATAATTTCTCCATGATATTTCTTATAGCTTCTCTGCCTAAGGAAAGAATTGGCTCCAGAGTCTCATACTACCATGCTCTAAACACCTCAAACCTACTGGTGGGGTTTAATTGGCTATAGGACAAAATTATTAGGAACTAAAACATGTCATCACATCATTATTCAAGAAAAAAATGTCAACCTCACTGGCATTGATGATATAAATGTAAATAAAATTAAAAATATATAAATATAAAATAAATAGAAAAAATGTTTAAATTTATTTATTTTTTAAGTTCTCGATACCAATTTCTGTTTCCTTTCTTTGCAAACAACATTTCAACTACAATATAATGTTTAAAAGCTCTGAGCTTTAGCCTGAAATCCATGTTTTCTAAGCACCAAATACTCTAATTACAAATTTTACTTTTTTATGGTGTCGAGGGGAGAGATGGCCCTAAAGTGCAATTTTACCTAGAACACACAGAAATTGCGTAAAACCAACAGGTCAGATAATATTTTTGGTAGTAATTCTAGCTAACGTTGATGTGTACTACACTGCAGGCCTTTTGGGATACACTTTACTTGTAACATTTAATCCTCACAAAAACGCTAAAGGTATTAATAATGATAGTTAACATCCATTGAACACTTACAAAGTGCAAGACACTGTTTATACGCAGTACTTACCTCATTTCCTTCTCATTATGGTCCTCTGAGATAAACACTTTTATTACCCACAGTTTACAGGTAATATAACTAAGGGTTCAGGAACTTTCTTAAGGTCACACTGCTAGTTGGAGGGAGCCAGAATTCAAGTCCTGTAGTCTGACTCCAAAGCCCATGACATTAAACCCCAGGCTTTTAACCACTGCAATTTACTGCTTCTGCAATTGGTAGGCATGTAGTAAATGATATTTTTGTAACTACTGATAGAATTTCATTAAGGTTTATTTAAGAAATACCAGAAAAGAAGCAATAGCTAGAAGTAAAGATATGATTAAAATAGATTCTATATGAATCTAAATCCCAATAAGCCATTGTTTTCAGAAATTGAATGATCTCTGATAGTGAGGTGTTAAAAACTGCTGAAAAAACACAATGCTACTCAAAGTTTCTAACAGAAAATATTACTGCAAAGCAAACAAAAAGCCCAAATAAAATACAGTAAAATGCAAAGAAATATGGTTAGGCTGAATCATATCCTCTGCCTGCCTAGGATTTAGAAATGCAAACCAAATCCACTTCAAGAAAATTAAGTTTGCAGAAATTCTGCAACTTGATACAGATAGGGGTTTAATTTTGGTTGAAAAAGTTTCTAAATTTATCATGAAAAAAATCACTGCCTGTAAGTATCATAAGTATCCATATTACTAAATCTGAAGAATCGCTTAAGGTCTACCCAAGTCTATTAGTGTAAAAATTTAATAACAACAATTTACGATTTTTAAAATTTATATTTTGGTTATGCTAATTTCCAAACTTGAGGAATTAATGTATCGCTCACTGTTTCATATCAAAACCTATTAAAGGAGGAAAGGTAGGAAAACAGGAGGAAGAAAAAGTGACTTATTGGGGTTTAGAAACATGAAACAAAGCAAAGGTCCATAAGAGCAAAAGTGCAAAGAGCTCACTGTAGTTGATTCCTTGTCTAGTGTTCCTTCCATTCTAACCCACTTCTTCCACACAAGGAAGTTACTAAATCCTACAATGTGTCTTAGAAATCATCTAACTAAAAGCATTCATTTTATTAACAGCAAAAAATGCTCCAAACTCTCATAGTCACTGGCAACAGAGCCAGAATGAGAAGTAGGTACTCTGACCACAGGTATTCTTTCCAGGTACACTATATTCTTTAGGCATACATATTCACTGCAGCACCTATTACAGCCTCTTTAAAGAGAATACCTTATTTGCAAATGGATTTATTAATCTACAAGTACAGATTCCACACTTAACATTCTGGGAAGGGAACTAAATACTTCTGCCTTAAAAATTAATAAATTTACTTAAAAGAGGTTTTAATTAATACTAACTTTATTTTATTTTATTTTTGAGACAGGTTCTAACTCTGTCACCCAGGCTGGAGTGCAGTGGTGTCATCATAGATCACTGCAACCTCAAACTCCTGGGCTCAAGGGATCCGTCTACCTCAGCCTCCTGAGTAGCTGGGACGATAGGCATGCACCACCACACCTGGCTAATTTTTTTATTTTTTGTAGAGATGGGGTCTCATTCTTGCTCACGCTGTTCTCAAACTCTAGGCCTCAAGTGATCCTCTGGTCTCAGTCTCCCAAAGTGCTAGGATTGCAGGCATGAGTGAGTCATCGTGCCTGGGCCGATACTAACTTTAAAAATACTTTCATCTAATACAAAAAGTGATACTGGTTCTATTAATATTAAAGAATAAAGAAATTAAAAACAACTCGATGAAAAAATAAATTATATATGAGGTGGTTAACATCATTAATCATTAGAAACTGTAAGTTAAAACCACGATGAGATACTACTACACACCCACTAAAATTAAAAAGACTCACAATATCAATTGTCAGCAAGGATACAGAGAAACTGGAATTTGCATCCATTGCTGGTGGGAATGTAAACTGTACAAACACTTTGGAAAACTGTATGACACAAGCTATGAAAGTGAAAACATATTATATAATGCCAACTCCTAGGTCTGTAACCCAACAAATGAGTACCAATGTCCAACAAAAGACATACACAACCATGTTCACAGCAGATTTATTCATATTAACTCAAAACTGAAACAACTTAAATGTTCACCAATAATAAAAAAGATAATTGTAGTACATTTATATAATAGCATACTAGCGCACAAAGAAAAAGAATGAACCGTTGCCACATAGAACATGAATGAATAAAGCCAAGGCAAAGAAGTCAGCTATGAAAGAGCACATATTATATGAGTCCATGTATAAGAATAAGCTAAAGTACTTTATGGTCTTAGAGGTCAAATAACGGTTACCTTGGGAGGGGAGGACATTTACTGGAAGAGGACAAAAGGGAGGCTTCTGGGATGCCTGGTAGGTCATTTTTAAGAACTTTGGCTTGTGAGTGAAAGGGAAACCACTCCCCTTCTCTCACCAAATCTTGGCTACTTTAGATACATTTCACCAAATAAAACTTAAAGGGACACTATGTAGTTTTTTAAGCACAAAAAGAGCAAAGCATGTATCTCTGATTCTACCTTTTTAGCAACAGACTTTGGAGGAAGGAACAGCCAAGTATAAAAACAGGGTAGAAATAAACAACAAATCTACACACACACACACACACACACACACACACAAAAGGGAACATCATGGGGAGCTACTTTACACAAAAACATGGGCTGTAGGAGACTTCTTTTACAATCAAAATCGCATTGTTATTCTCTCAATCTATTAAGCAAGGATTAATGACAAAAATTCCCATATTTTTCACAGAAAATAGCTCTATATTTGTTTGTTTTATTATTTATACATTTTACATCATCACATGATTAATGTAAAATGTGTAGACGGGTAAATAAAATCACTGAATTAAAATTTTTTTCCATGTCAACAAATGTACAATGAAGGAACTTCAATTTTTTTTAATCTTAGCAAATGTAACTCCTTCTCCTAAAGCAGTGCTATCTTTATCACTTGTTTATGAATTGTTAGAAAATAATCACTATAAATCAATTCAAGGTCTTTGAGGTCTATTAATATTAATCAAGATAACCTGTAACAAAGGCAATCTCTGGAAATACGTAGGTTAAAAGGCTAGCTTCTGAGTAAAATAATATTCTCTGTTCACAATGAGGTCAGATGGAGTTTAGTCAGTCATCCTTATGTCTTCTTTTCAATAGACAACCAAGGAGCTCAAATAAGAAAATTGAAGGATGACTTCTTTTAAATGTAAGGTAATTTCAATTTGTCCATAATGTAATGCAGTGTCTCAACTACGTTGTTACTGCTTCAGAATAAAAGTAGTATATGATGTGTTTATGACAATGGAATGGAAAAGCCATCAGTATTAACTTCTTATGACTATCTCCATCTCACTCACATTTTACAACTACCGCCTGAAGGTCTCAGATATAAGGAAGAATTTCCGACAGTGAGGGTACTAAAAATGAGTTATTGACAAAAGCTATAAAAACATCTTAAAGATCTTTTAGTAAAAGCATAAATGTTCACCCTCAGGGATGATTTGGTATCATCCTACCTGAAAGCAAGAATATAAAGTAGAAAACTCTTCAGGCTTCGCTTCATCTATCCTTGTTATTCTTTAAACTAAAAAAGGCTTTTTACCTCATCATTTTTATTTTTATTTTTTGGCCCTATAAACATCCTTCTCCATAATCACCACCTCTCTCTTCTGGTAGACATGAAACTTCAAATTTGCTATGACATTATAAATAAATTTGTAATCTGACTGCTCTCATTATCATTAAAACAATGCTACAATGCTTATTAAAAACTAATTTGAAACTGTTTTAAAGTAAAATTTTCAAAGCCCAGCCTAAATTAGGTGAAATAATGATATAATTTAATTGGCGATATGCTTAGGTACGTTTTGTTAATCTGTTACCTAGATGAAGAGTTTATCTTTCAAGCAAAATGCGATCACATGTGTATCAATGGCTGCAACTTCTTGGAAATGCATCAAAAAATGAGATGGGTTGATGACTAGACAAATGGATAAATACATGAAAAAACAAGCACAGCAAAATGTCAACAAGAGTAGAAACTAAGAGGTGACTATATGGATGGATGTTGACTGTGAGATTGTCTCAACTTTTCTATACATTTGAAGTTTTTCACAATAAATTGTTGAAGAAAATGTAATCACTTTTGAAATTTGTTTTAAATGGCAAGGGAGAAAATGTCCAAATCCCACAGAATAATTCTACAAAAAATACTAGCGCAAGACTTTGCTACTTATGTTTGTTGAGTTGGGAAAGAAAAAAAAAACTGCCATAACTTCCTCCAGAAAATTCCAAAATATTTAGACTCCTATTGAGAAATGAATGTAGGTAGAAATGTTTTTTAAGAATTCTATATAGTGAAAGCCAGTTCCTCTGGCTGAATTTCGAAGAGTAAAAACTGATATTTACGTATTTCAGATAATGTTTCACTTCCCTGCCTACCCAGAATAACTTTATTTTCAATATTGATTTACTTCCTGAAAGAAGATAAAGCACATCTTCCTTTGAATTACTTAATCATTTTTTTTGTAATGTCCTTTCTCTGTAAATCTACCTAAAATTATTTTTTAAAAATCTGAAAACAAAAAACACATAAAAAAAGTCAGCATATTGGAAAGTTTACCTACTCAACAGCATGCATATGAAGTATATAAGTGTCATAAGCCTTAACATAAATGACTTACTAAAGTGGCATGAGCAAGACATGTTTATGTTTGGTATTCCATTAGAGAATTTATTGTAGTTATTTAAAATATACCACCCTCTGTATTTCATAAATATAGAAAAATACATAACTCAAAGAAATTGCTCAGCTACTAGTATGTAATAATGATCTATTAAACAAAATTTATTGGATACCTACTATGTGCCAGGCATAATGCTAAGCCTTAGGGATGAGAATATGAATAAGACTTCATGAAACTGATGGTTTGGTAATAAAGAATCCAAATGAACAATTATAAAAACACTTAAATTGGTTGATAAGTATATGCAGAGTAATACTGTAATAGGGAGGAGACATCTAAATTAGCTTACAGGGTTGGGGATCTCTGGGAAGGCTTTCTGAGCTTGGTATTAAAAAATGAGTAGCAGTGACTTAGGCAGGAGAGAAAGGGAGCTGGCATTCCATGCTGAGGTGGCAACATAGAGGAACAAAGCAGCATGTTGTGGCCACAGATCTGCAAGCAATTCGGTACTGCCGGAAAAAAAGCTCATGGCATGGGCTGGAGAGAGATCAGGCTAGGGAGGCGGGCAGTGGCCATTCCATGAATACTGCTGTGGGCTATGTTAAGAAGTCTGGACTTTCTCTTGGCCTCAAAAGGATTTTAGAAGGGGAGTAGTATTTTCAGATTTTATATTGGCTAGAACTCCCTGGTCCCTGAGTGAAGGAAGAATGAGACATGGACATGTTGATCAGCTAAACGAATGACAAAGAGGACCTGAACCAGGATGGTGTTAGAAGGTATGGTCTCTGCAGAGACACACAGGCAGATATGACAGATTGGATGTGGAGGTGGCTCCCAAGATTCTGGCAATGCTCCCCCTTATTCTCCCAGGAAAGTAGATAATATAGAAAGAAAAGCCAAGTTGAAAGAAAAGATGATGGATTCAGTTTTGGATGTGTTGAATTTAATACACCTCTGGGTTACCTAGGTGAAGATTTCCAGCAGAAAGTTAATATATGAGGACAAGGGAAAGAGGTCTGAATTGGAGTGGAAATTTGAGTCTGCAAAATATTGGAGATATCTGGAATTATGAGTGAACAGTTTTTTTGACGTTTTGTTAAATTTTAGCCATTCTAATAGTGGTAGTTCATTGTGGTTTAAACTTTTATCTTCCTAATTCCTAATGATGTTTAATATCTTTTAAAACGGTTATTTGCTATTCGTATATCTTCTTTTGGTATCCATTCAAATCTTTTGCCCATGTAAAAAGATTGAACTGTTTTCTAATTATTGCATTTTGAGTGTTCTTCATGTATTCTTGATACTAGTCCTTTATCAGATGTATGTTTTGCAAATATTTTCCCCCAGTGTATGGCTTCACAGTGTCTTAGTGTCTTTTAAGAGCAGTAAGTTTTTACTTTGTTGAAGTACAGTTAATTTTTTTTTTTTTTTAAAAGAGACATGGGGTAAAAAAAAGAAAAAAAAGACATGTGGTCATGCTCGGTTGCCCAGGCTGTAGTAGTGGCTGGATTCTAGCTTACTGCAACCTGGAACTCCTAGGCTGAAACCATCCTTCTGCCTCACCCCCCCTGAGCAGCTGGGACTGCAAGTCTGCACACCAGCTTGACTAATTTTTCTTTTTTTTCTAGAGATGGGGGTCTCACTATGTTGCTCAGGCTGGTCTCCAACTCCTGGCCTCAAGCGATCCAACTGCTTCAGCCTCTCCAGTGGCTGGGATTACAGGCCATGAGTCACAGTGCTCAGCTCTACAATATTTTCTTTTCTGTATTATACTTTTGGTGTTGCACCTAAGAAATCTTTGCCTAAATAAGATCACAAATATTTTGTCCCAAGTTTTCCTATTTACATCTATAATCCACTTTTTTTTAGGGTATGTGTATGATGTGAAAAATAGATCAATGTAATGAGAGGGGATAGAATCAGCCAATAAAACGTATAGACTGAGAAGCGCAAAGGCGGATGGAAGCCAGGAATAAAAACCACCAAGGTTTATGTAAAGGAGATGGGCAAAAAGACACACGGCATTGTAGATGAAGCACCAGGAAAATTCTGAGTATCAACACTAAGATAAGAAATGGGAACTTACTTTTTTTTTTTTTTTTTTAACTTGGATGAGGTCACTAGCGACCTTCGGAAGAGGACTTTCAGTCAAAATAAATCTTTCCAGTATCAAACCACATCTAACCAACCACTTTATAGGAATTCCCCCTGTGGAAGCACTTGACACTTTGAAATCTCTGCGCACCCTTAAAGGTTACTTCTTTAGGCATGAGAAGGTCTGGGATTCCCCAAATTGAGGATGACTGAGGGAGATCCTTGGGGCATTCAGGCCTGAGGTCTAGGGGTCAAACCCGAGGAGTCACCGCCCTGCTGGGAAATCAGAACCACGGTTACCGCCGGGTTTGCTAATCTGACGCCTCATCAGGGAGGCAGCTGGTTAAATTACACCAGGATGAGAAGGCGGGGATTAAAGTCTGTGCATTTGGGCAGACCCGGGGCAAATTAGGGAAGTCCCTCCCACGTGCGCCCCCTCTGTTGTCTGGAGGAAGCAGAGTCGCAGGGTACAGCGCCCCTACTGACTCTCCCGGAGCCGCGTGACCCTCGACTCAGGCTCCTCCGGGCCGAAGAGCTACTGCATTTACTCGGGCCAAGGAAGGGGAAGTTTAAACCTTTGGTTAGGGGGATCGTGCGCACGCTGGGTCAATTCCCCGATGCCACGCAGGGGGCGCTTGACTGACTCATCCCGGCCCACTGACCTTTACTCTCCCCGCCCCAGAGGCCCGCACGTCTTTCCCAGTGGAGCCCGGATCTGACCTCTCTTACTACCCGGGAGCCCGCTCACCCACCTCTCCGGCTAGTCGTAAAGTGCAGTAAATGCGCCTGCGTTTTGCGGCACCGTAGGTGAGGCTGGCGGCGTGTTTCCTTGCTCGGTGCGGATCCGGCTCTTTGACAGTTGCTTCTGCGGGAAGGTGGCAGTTAGGAGTTTGGGGAGGACGGGCAACCAGCTATAATTCTCTCAGCGGGTAATTAGTTGCTCCTAGATTTGCATATCGAGAGACAAAGCTGTAGGGTTGTTTTAAACACTTGATATAAAGTTCCCAGATCTCACTCGTTATGATATGCCGCTCCTCGTGTGCTTTGGTTTTCATCGTCGTCGTGTTGATCACTAGATTTTAGGTATCCTTGGTGTAGCTGACATTGTTTTTCTCGTTCACTTCGTTCTGTAGTCTTTCCTTCCCTGGAGTTTGAAATGCTTTACCTCATCGGCTTGGGCCTGGGAGATGCCAAGGACATCACAGTCAAGGGCCTGGAAGTTGTAAGACGCTGCAGTCGAGTGTATCTGGAAGCCTACACCTCAGTCCTGACTGTAGGGAAGGAAGCCTTGGTAGGTGCTTAACGTTCCCCAGCCTCCTGAGAAGAAAGCTATCTAACATTTGGTTTTCGTACACTAAGCTGAACAGAATTTTAAGGTGTGCTTGTTTAAACCCTTTAAAACACATCCCCTGCTTGTTAAGGATCTGAGGAGTTGGAGAATGGAAATTGTACACCAATGAAGTGACTTGGAAAATAAAAGGGTGCTTGTTCTACTTTACAAGTCCAATTTTGCAGCTTTCTCCAGCAAATAGAAAAGTTATTTTACCCTCTTGGGGATAGTTATCAAAACCCCTTATTTCATGAGATAGCCAAGAAATCCTTTCTTTGTTGAGTGCTAAAGAGGTGCTGACCCAGCCTTAATGAGTTGATTATATATTCAAAAACCAAGCTGAAATCTTCCCACTTTGAAGTATTCCCATAGAGAATGGCCATTGCCTTTCTGTCTGTATCATATTCAGAGAGCTCTTACCTTTAGATAGACATCTCCCAACAAGGCTTATACTCATATTGGCCTTTCATTGAAAGGAATTGGCCATTCATTGAAATAAAAGTTGTATTTAATGACCTGCTTTGATTTGGCTCCCACTTTTGTCACTGTTAGTATGGAACCAAAATATCTAACCTCAAAATGATGGAAATATGCCTCTCTAATGAGTGATCATGGAAAACTAGAATGGACTTCAAACTATCTAAGAGAATAGAGACACATAAAACAGCTTTATAGAGACACATAAAACAGTTTTATAGCATAAGGTGTCAGCATGGCACAGAGGAAAGTTTGGACCTTGTTTTATCTTTGCCGTTTTACCTGTTAATATGACCTTAGACAAGTCATTTAACTTTAATTTCTTACTATGCAAAATGGGTTCAAAAATGCCTATTTTGTATCTTCTTAGCATAGTGCCTGGCACAAAAGTATTTAGAAATGGTATTTGTCGGGCAGGCGTGGTGGCTCATGCCTGTGGTCCTAGCACTCTGGGAGACTGAGACGGGCGGATTGCTCAAGGTCAAGGGTTCGAAACCAGCTTGAGCAAGAGCGAGACCCCGTCTCTACTATAAATAGAAAGAAATTAATTGGCCAGCTCATATATATAGAAAAAATTAGCCGGGCATGGTGGCGCATGCCTGTAGTCCCAGCTACTCGGGAGGCTGAGGCAGTAGGATCGCTTGAGCCCAGGAGTTTGAGGTTGCTGTGAGCTAGGCTGATGCCACGGCACTCACTCTAGCCTGGGCAACACAGTGAGACTCTGTCTCAAAAAAAAAAAAAAAAAAAAAAAGAAATGGTGTTTGTTGTTTGTCAATGGTTACATTTCCAAACTTCTCTGAATCTCAGTTTCTTCATTTGTTAAATGGCGATAACCAGTTGGAGGGTTATGTAGGGTTTCATTAAGGTGAATGTGTGAAAGTGCTTTGTAAATTTTAAGTGCTAGCTAAATATTAATTTTGGTTGCTATAATTTTCTAAAGTTTTTTTCCCAGAAATATACTTTAATGTTATTGCTTATGTAGTAAAGGTTTGGGGCTGAACCCAACGTCACCTATAGGTAAATTATGTGTACTTTTTTAAGGTGCTAAAATATCTGTTCCTCCATAATAAGTTTTATAGAACATTTATGTATTGTTTTAAATGCTTTATATGTTGATTAGGATTATTAATCTATAATTACTGTTCACATTTTATACATATAGAAAAGTTAAGAAACTTGTCCATAGTTATACAGATAGTGAGTGATAAAACCCCAGGATATGAACCAAAGCAGCCCTGAGTTGAGATCTGCTACTTTTGACTTTTTTACTGTACTGTGTCTCTGTATTCCTAAGGATAGATAATAGCTGCACAAAGTACAACTTCTTAAAGAGAAAGTAAGATTCAAGCAAAAGGGTCAGTCCTGGATCTTGCTCTATTACAAAATTCCTTTAATGTGCAGTGCACATCCTCTTCTAGTTCCTCAGTTGATGTTCTTTCCTGAGCAAATTACCATACAACATCAGCCACCTTAAATGAATCATTTCTGGACTAAAGTATATAAAAAAAAATTAATGCCTTATATTGCCTAGTAAAATCTCAGAGCCACTTTCTATTTAACCACTTCCTTCTTCCTTTCATTTCTATCTTTTCTTTTTTAAAAAATTGATTTTTAGAAATTGTTGACAAGTGTTTACATACCTATATATATAATCTGATCTCAATAACTACACGTAACTATTACACAGTAAAAAAATTAGAAAATTCTATTTTGTATAATGAACATGTTCTTTTTTTTTAAATAATCAGACAATATTTTATAAAAGGCACATGAGTATTGCTAAAGAAATCAGAAATCTATCTGCTTTTACACTGAAAACTATTGTTTTCAAATTGCTAAACTGGTAGTATTATTTATATGTTCTCTTTATTCAAAAGTTAATCTAGAGACAGTGAATCTAAGAAACAGTTTTAGTTTTGGTATATGTACCTTGAATTTTTTTAGGCACTTTCTGTGGATACATTATGACCTTTAATACCTATAATGCACCTGTGTGCATTATACAAAGAAGCATAAGCGATGGCCTTTGTAAATGGTTCATGATTCATCTGCGTTATACCCAGGAAAACTTAAATAATAATGGAAGATTTAAGTAAGAATTCATAACAGCAATGGAAGGAAAAACTATAAAATATATATGTTTGTAAAGAACCTACAGGATCTTATCTAAATCCAAACCCTAGCTTTCACCAACAAAGTAGTAGAAGCTGCCCCAAATATTAAATAATTACTAGTTATTAATTACTATGGGAATACATGTGTGAGAGAAGATCATTTCCAACTGTGGTGGTCAGATAATACTATGGACTTGATGGAATGGAATTTGAGCTACATTTTAAAATAGTGAACCCCGGTCTTTTTTTTGTTTGGTTTCTTTTGTTTACATCATAGTTCAAATAGGAAATAGTAATATTTGTACAGCCCTTTAGGGTGAATGTAGGAAGCTGCTCATAGCCAGACTATCTAACTGTGGGGCCCCAGTTACCCTGCAGAAAGTAGAGGAGATCACTAAACTTTCCCTATCTTTATCCCATTTGTAGCATTTGTGAAGCTGTGCAATATACCAAGGTTCTGTGATCTGGAGCAGTCATTTAACTTTTCTGTGCTCTGTTTCTTATCTGTAACATGGGGATAGAAATAGTTCCTATCTCAGATTGAGGAGAAAAGTAAATTAATTCATATGCATAAAGTTCTTAAAACAGAGCTTGACCACAGAGTAAGCCCAATGTAAGTGTATTAATACAAAGATTGTTATTATATATAAGATTTGGTAAGGGGAAGAGAAACAACATTCCATCTTGAAGGAAAACTAACTGTAATCAAAAGCATAGAGGGAGAAAACACAAACTTTTGCTGTACTTGTTATTGGGCTTCACTGAAATAGTTCTTTTATTTTCTCGCAGTGTATATGTTCCCTTGTGACTCTTCCTAACTTATGTCACCTGGATGCCAGCTCCCTCTATTACCTTGTCTTCCTGTTCAACTGCTGTGGATTGAGATCAGGGAAACAGAGGAGAAGGACAGTAAAGGAGAAATATGAGGCCATCAGCTATGAACTTTATAAACTTCCCATCTGCCCTTACCGTAAATCTGAGTCTGTCTTCCCTCCAGCCTTAGAAAATGACTTGTAAGATGAGGTTCTCTTCCTGTCCAAAATATAACTCCACCTAAATGTGTTTTGTAAAACCTGTTCTACTCCCTTCCTTAGAAACTTTACTTACCAGTTTTTCTTTCTTAATGTTCAACCTGTATTAACGTCCTTCTCCCCTCATCCTGAAGCCATATTTAAACACTATCCATTCTGAAGATTCTCTTTTAAACCTCTTTCACCATAGTTATTATTCTGTCTCTATCTTTTCTTTATCCAAAACTCTGTGGAAAAGCATGCCTTTACAGTTTCCACTTCAACTCAGGTCTCAGATCCTTGCAGGCTGACTTTCATTCCTTGAGAATATTTCTCTACTTTTTTTAACATTTCTTTACTAGCCAAGAATTTTGGATAATGGTTTTGAGTTATTACCTGTTTTACCTCTTTTGATGTGGTTAACACATTCCTTGAAACTGACTTTCTTGGTTTTATTCCTACTTTTCCATTCTTCTCAGTCCTCCTTTTAAGTGACTTCTCTGTTCCTTCTTTAAATGTAGTATTTTTAAAAGATTTTGTCCTCGCATTTGTTTCCATATACTACTTTGAACTTCTATTCTTTCATTTTTTTTTTTTAAATTTTTTAAAATTTAAGTGTATTATGGGGGTACAAGTGTTAAGGTTATGTATATTGCCTATGACCCCCTCCCCCCTCGAGTCAGAGCTTCAAGTGTGTCCATCCCCCAAACTTTGTATATCTTACTCATTGTGTTTGTATATACCCATCCCCTCCTCCCCCCTCCCACCTGCCTGACACCTGATAAATGTTATTCCTATATGTCCACTTAGGTGTTGATCTGTTAATACCAATTTGCTGTTGAGTACATGTGTTTGTTTTTCCATTCTTGAGATACTTCACTTTGTAGAATGGGTTCCAGCTCTATCCAGGAA